GAGAGAAATATTTATTTAGTTCTTACGTCTCTCTCTTCCTAAAACAACTTATCCAAAGCAGGGTACTGAGGATAGGAGGGCCAGCCCATGACCTGGTGCTAAGGCAGTTGGAGCCCACGCAGCTGGAGGCACAGTTCGAGGCCCAGCCCTGGCAGCTTGAGACACAGGTCAGGAGTGAGTATGCACACGCCCGAAATCCCAAAAGGAGAGTGAGATGGAGAACGGATGGAGGTGTGACCATGCCTCATGGGGTGGGGGGAGATGCCTTCTCACTTTCTTCTCCTTTTCTCTCTGGCAAGTACACACGTTCCCTAATAAAATGTTTTTTCTTCTTTTTTTTTTTTAAGAGTCAGTGGTTAAGGGCGCTGGACCCCCATGTGGTTGACTGTCGTTTGAGTCCCGGACCTGGCGGCTTGCCTTCTCTCTCTCTCGCTCACTCGCTCTCGCTCTCTCACTCTGTCCCTGGGCAGGATTAAATTAAAATAAATAAATAAAGTTAAATAAAATTTTTTTTATAAAAAAGAGTCATATAATAATAGATCTGAAGGGTTCCCATGGTCTCTAACCTTCACCTTCTCAGGGGAACACTAAGCAGTACATGAAGACATGCACTTGATAATGCCACGCTGAAACGGCGCCACCACGTCTCCCCAGGAGCGAGAGGAGCCCGGGAGAGGGGGAGCGAGGCCTACTCACCATGCCGCTGTAGGAGTGGCGCAGCAGGATGGCATGCCCGTAGAGCAGCGTCCGGTGGCCACCGCCTTGAGCCGTCTGCATAGAGGAGACAGGGCAGAAGAGAGCAGGCTACGTTGGCAGTTTGGGGACACGCCCAAAGAGCTATCTAGGTTCTCTCTGTTTTCTGGTTCAGTCGACCGCGTCCACACCTTGTTAGATCTGGCCTGGCCCACCCTGGCAGCTGAGCCCTGCGTGTTCGCTCCCTGGCCGGAAGTCATCACTACGGTCGCTGACAGCGAAGAGCTGACCTTGGTGTCTTAACCAGGGCTCCATGGAGCAGATGGCGAGGGCAGCCCTGCTCCCACCTCAGTGCCAACAGCAGACAGGGCTCCCGCGCCAGAAGAGCTATGGCTCCAGGTAGGAAGCCAAGCAGGGTGGAGGCGAGCGCCCAGTAAAGCCCACGCCCCCCTCCTTAGCATCAGCTTCCATTACTCTCACCGCCTCCTCCACCCTCCCTAATAGCATTCCAGCCTTCCTGATCCTGCGCATGCAGGAGAAGGAGCTGCTGGCCTCCTGGCCTTGCAGTTCAAGAAACAAAAACAGGGCCTGATTAAATTATCCCGGGCACACACCACCGGGTTTCCGCTGGCCCTGCGGCATCTGCCCCTCACTCTGGTTTCTACCAGAACCTGCACTCACAGAAGAGCTTCGGGCACATGTTCCAGGTATCTGTCCCCTGAGTCCTCCCCAAAGGGCAGTCAGCCGGCACCCGGAGGTAGGCACAGGGGCGAGATGGCCGAGCCAAGCAGTGGGCACGGGCTTGGCCAGAAAAGCCGAACTGTACCCAGCCCAGATGTCATCAAGTACTTATTACACGTGCGAGGGCATTCGTGTTTTGCTGTCGCTCTTAATGCTTCCCCAACCGAACTCTCATTTGGTGACATGTCCAGTTGGCAGTGGCTGCCCTCTCTGCAGTAACAGTACGCCCTGCTGACTAAGAGGTGGGGTTATCTGAAGTCTTGGAAGATGTCCCATGCCCTGTGGACAGATGACTTCCAAGATGGGCCCTGTCCTGTCACCCATCTGAAAGGCCAGATTGCAACTGGTTGAGGGTACCCACAGGACCCCCGGACGCCTGGGCAGGTCCACAGAGCATGACGGTGGACTTAACTCCGTGGCCGGCAGGCGAGGTGGGTCTTAGTCCCCCTCCCCACGCACCCTCTCCATGCACGTCTGGACTTTCACTTCACAGTCCCAGAGTTGACGCTCTTGAAAATGGCCATCTTTTGAAACTGCATGTCATGCTTTCTTTGGCAACAGAAGACAAACACGTTCCTCCCTCTCACCTTTAGGACGACAACGCATTAAACCTGGCTGCAGGGGCCACAGACACGGCCCGTGCAGTCAGCCCCGCGGGGACAGCCTCATGTCTGAGGCCCCTTCTCATGGCCCTCCTCTCACACCCTTCCCACTCTTTCTACTTGAGAAATGAAGAGGGCCGGGTTAGCTCTGCTGCTCTGGGAGTGAGCGCAGCGGGGGCCTCTGCGCCCGAGGGCAAGGACTTCCTGCGTGTCCACAGGAACTCAGCGCAGGGCAGCCAGCTGCAGGAGGGCCGGACGGAAGTTCGGTCTTCACGTGGAAATTCCCAACGTTGGCCAACTGAGCCTAACATGTCACGATGTGACCCCCAAAGTGTCTCCCGTTGTTTAAGTTGTTAAATCCAAACATGTGACCGGTCTATGTACGTGTAAACGTTCCAAAGTTTATTTAACTTCTTAAAACTTTAAAATGTGAACAAGGTGCCGTGAATGCAAAAGAGAAACGAACATGCGTGACCACATCTAGAAGCAGGAGAGTCACCGACCGAGCAGCCATGCCAAGTCTCACCTTCATCATGAACTTCTGCAGGGCAGGGGGAGAAGAGAGAGAGTTAGAGAAGAAACCCGACTCCCCCCGCTCCTACAAGCCGCCCTTGTCCGAGTGGAGCAGCGCAAACGGCAAGCGTGGAACACACGTGCACTGTGGGCGCACACACGGAGGTCAGCCCGCCCCCCCCCCCCCCCGCACACC